CTATAACTATAGGACAAACAGGAGCATCCCCTGCGATCATCCAGCCTATGATGTCAACTGCCCCTCGTACGGAAGATACATCGCTAATATCAGACGCAGTACCAGATACGAGTGATTTGCCACAGCCGCCCACTCAAATAATGCAAACACCAGACATCCAACGAGAAGTTATCAAATGCATCCAGATTAATTTACAAAGAGCAAAAGCCGCCGCGTCACAATTGATCCAACATACAATCAACCATCAACCAGATATACTATTGATTCAAGAACCTTACTGCAGAGCAGGGGAAGTCGCCTGTTTGCCACTCTGTTGGAAAATATTTCAGCGCAAAGCACAACAGAATGAGCCACCACCAAGAGCAGCAATCGCCTGCTGCAACCCGCTCTGGTCCCCGCTGATAATTACACAGAAGCGAGACCATGTAGCAATCCTCCTCAGCTTCTCAAATTCACAGATCATCATTTCCTCCATCTACAGTCCCCCACCGGATGATATCCACCAGACCATCATGAGCATCGAAGAAGTAAAGACAAAGTGCCCCACAACATCACATGTTATAGGCGGTGATTTTAATGCCCCACAACATCATATGGGGTTACCCAGCTACCACTCCAAAAGGGCAAGTCTTGGAAGACTACATATTGGCCAGCAATCTGCAAATCATAAACACCCCCAACGCGCCACCCACATTTGACAACACGTACCACCACGGATGGCCAGATATTACAGTGACTACTAATGATATAGCCAATAACCTACAAGACTGGATGGTAGCAGATGAAGAGAGCTGCTCGGACCATCGCTACATACACTTCAATATTGCAAGCGACACAAGGATCAGCATCTTTAAAAGATACAAACTTCCGGGTAACAAATTGCGAATACTTAACAAAGCTTTCTCTCTAACATTACAGCAAGAAGAGCAGGAGCTAAGTCAATACAAGAGCCCCAATGATCTGAACACTTATACCGAGCGGCTGCTTGACACTCTACGGAGCATTTGCGATCAGCACCTGCCCACCAGAGCAGCAAAATGTTTGCAAGGAATTTCCTGGTGGACAAAGGAACTGCGACAGCAACGGCAAAAGTGCAGGGCTTTACGACGTCGCCTTCGCACCAACATTAACGAAACCACCAAGAATGCAATACTAGCAACCTTTAGGGAGGAAAGAGCGCATTATAAAAAATAATATCCTTAAAGCCAAAATAACCAGCTGGCGTAAGTTCTGCACAGAAAATAACAACCCATATGGAATTCTACACAAGCTTGCCACCAACAAGGTCTTTAAGCCGGATCAACTCTATGCCCAAATTGCCAACCAACCCATTACCACCAACATAGCAGAATCCACGGCAGCCACAACCTTAAACACAGTCTTCCCAGCAGACGATCCGGACGATGACACGCCAGAGCAAAGGCACACAAGGGGAAACACCACTATCCCAGAGACTTCAGACGACGAACCATTTGAAATGGAAGAGATCAAGCAAATCTTTCGACAGCTTCCAGTCAAAAAGGCACCAGGTCCTGACGGCCTGGATTATGCAATAATCAAGGTCGCCTTCAACGCTCGACCCACTTACTTTAAAGTTCTGTTTAACAAGCTTCTACATTGTCAAATCTTCCCTACTGCATTCAAACAAGGACAGGTCGTCCTGTTTTTAAAAAAGCATAAATCCCCGGAAGATCCAAGATCCTTTAGACCCATATGTCTGTTATCTGCATTGGGTAAGATCTACGAAAAACTGCTAGTCAACAGGCTGAAGCACCATCTATACCGACAAAACTTTCTTAGCCCACATCAATATGGATTCAGGACAGGCACATCTACCATCCATGCTCTAGAACACATTCGAAAACATATAAATGACAACAGAATCAACAATCTACATACTGCATTTATCTCTTTAGATCTTCAAAGTGCCTTTGATACTCTCTGGTGGCCTGCAATAAAGCAGGCCCTCAGGGAGGCAAAGTGTCCAAGGAACCTTTTTAATATCTTCACTGACTATCTCCACTCTAGAAGTCTAATTATAGTCAATAATAACGGTGTCGTCACTAAACAGCAGGAAAGAGGGTGCCCACAGGGGCTCATGTGCCGGGCCTCTACTGTGGATAATCACGTTTAATTCCTTATTACAAATCAAATGGCCTACCCATACCAGAGTGATAGCATATGCAGATGATGCGGCATTGCTAGTCTCTGGCCGCACAAGAGAAGAACTCGAACGAAATGGTACGGAAACCTGTTCCATATTTTCAGATAAATGCAGTAGACTTAAATTGATCATTTCCGCACAGAAGTCAACGGCAGTAGTAGTCATCCCACGACCGAGAACTAATCCAACGCGACGGCCGTGTATAAAATTGATGGGACGAAATCTAAAGATCTCAAAAACCATAAAGTATCTCGGACTTACATGGGATCAGGGTCTCACATGGCTGCCCCACCTTCAAGACATCAGAGTCAAGACAGCAAATATAGCTAAGAAAGCCAGACAATTCCAGGGAAGCAACTGGGGGCAAAACCCTCACATCCAGAAACTGCTATATCTAACGGTAGCGGAGAGAATTGTTCTTTACGCATCGGCTATATGGGCGCAACCAATGAGCAGTCGCAAGATCAAACTCTTGACAACAATACAACGGCCATTTGCTCTAAACATAAGTAGGGCATATAGGACAACGGCATCAAGTGCAATAACGGTCCTTGCGGGACTAACACCCCTGCACATAAAGGCCAGCATAGAAGCTGCATATGAGCGCCTAATTAGGCTAAAACAAGATGCCAACTTTGCTGGCACCGCCTTCCATGCAACACAGTATGAATTACCAGGGAGTGTGCAGTATGTGCACCCGGCACACAAAAGTAAAGGCATCCATGTCGTGACAGCACAACACCCAACGCCTCTCAGAGAAACTCCACATGTGAACTCACGATTCTACACCGATGGATCAAAGCATGACAATGGAGTGGGATGCGCCTTCGTTCACTTCAAAAATGACCGAGTGGAAAGCAAATGGAAAGGCCATCTCGCTACCCACAACAGCATTTTCCAGGCAGAAGCTGTGGCAATAGCAGCTGCAATTCAGTATGCTCAGGATATCAATCTAGCAGCAACCGAAATTCACACAGACAGCATGTCAGTGCTACAGGCAATCATGAATCACCACCATACCTCACCCACAATTATAGCAATCCAACAGCTCCTGCGTAACAATATGCAAACACACATCAAACTAATCTGGGTGAAAGGACATGATGGCATAGAGGGTAACGAGATGGCAGACCAGTTAGCAAACGAGGCGGCACTCAACAACGACGCGCAAGAGGTGACAACTCCAATCCCGACTTCGTATTTAAAGCGAAAGCTAAGAGAACTAAGCAAAGAACAGTGGCAACAGGAGTGGGATAACTGTGATACAGGAAGAAGGACACATGGATTCTACCCAATAGTAGACAACGAACGTCTCCAGGCCATTGCACCCTTGACATACTATATCACGGGGCACGGCCCATTTCCATCCTATTTTCAAAGACATGCAATTTCGATGACAGATATATGCGTGCGTCTGCGGGGCAACTGGCTCCCCCCCGACCACTACATATTTGAATGCAGCCTTACATCCAACTTACACCTACCACTCCCAGCCACAAATATAGAATCATATAAACGATTCATCATTAAGCACCCACCAGCGGTCAAAAAGATCTGCCAAATAATTAGGCAGGTCAACGACCTAGGGCAAGATATCTGCCAACCAAACTAGCGTCAATTAAGGCGTCTCATAAAGCAACCACAGTCAGCTTTCACTACCAAATCATCAACAGAATTCTGACAGTCTCTTATACTGACAATCAGCTGAATGCAACTTACAATATGTTTAAATTATGTGCTGCGCTTATAACATAACTGCACTGTAACATAACTGCAGACATAGCTGCTTACTGCGTACAGTACTCACTTACGGCGTATAGAGCAAACTACTGACTATGAACAGACTGCTACCTGCATTGTGTCTCTGTAGTAGTTACAAACGACTGAAATATCTATAGAAGTATTTCCTGGAATAACCACAGTTATTACAACAACTGCAAGTTATATATCAGTGTATAAGGTACTGTGCGCAGAGTAATTGGAACGCCCTGACAAATCGTGTACAGAACTTATCAACAGTGTACAGAGCTCAACACTGACTAATCACAGGTTACTACTTGCATGTCCATGCTAGTCCATGCTTAACTGAACAGTGTAAAACAAATGTGTATCCGACTTTGCATTGTGTAACCATTCTGTAAGCATTGTGTATATAACAAGCATCATGTATCTATTACAATACTAATATGCACTGTGTATTCTACAACATAGTGTTTCTCCTACAGTCATTGCCAGTACTGTATTACACATACACAAACGCGTTATACAAACTATCTGCAATAAATATGCACCTCATTCTGCACTGAATTTGTCAAATTCTGCACAGTATCTGCTGTATATAAAGCATATAATTACTATGCAACTATCTACATTGCGTGTGCATTACCTGCAATACCTTACAACCTGTTGTGTATCTGACTTTGCACTGTGCATTTGTTCTGTGAGCAATGTGTATATAAAAAGTACTGTGTACCTACTTTAATCCAATAAACACTGTGCATCTAATATAATATAAAATAAGCTCAGCGCATTCTATAACATAGTGTCTCCACTACAGTTATTGCCTGCACATCATATCTGTATTACTCAAACTATCTGTATTATATCTGCACTGTATCTGACATATGCATAATGTATAATTCATCTATATCTATCAATATTGTATCTGCATTACCTGTATAATCTCATAGCTTCGCATAGAAATATATAGCTTGGCAACATAGCATGCATGGTGCTGCGTACTATAATTGTGTGTATACAATAGTATAGATTTTTTTTTTTTAATGTGTAAGTATAATTGTGTTTATATAATTGTGCACAATTGTGTTATATACCGTAGTATAGTGTTTTATTCTGCGTTTTAATACGTTAGTATAATTGTGTTTGCATAATTGTACACCATAACTGTGTTGTATATAGTAGTATAGTGTCTTATTTCGTTTGTACAATTGTGCGCAGTATAAATTCTAATATCTAATGCTTTACAAGCATAGTGTATCTGTTTTTACATTGTGTATCAATTCTGTAAGCATTATGTATATAAAAAGCGCTGCATATCTATTCAAATTAAATAAGTATTGTGTACCTGATATAACGTATTGCATAATGTATTCTCCAGAGTAAAGTTTCATCTGTAATTACTATATCATCTAATAACAAAATTTAATATTCTACAGTGTGCCTGCATGCTTTATGTATGTTTATTTGCGCATTTTACATGTGATATGTGATCTAAATGTGTCTAAATGATCTAAATGTGTCTTTAGTGTAAGTGTATACTATATATTAGCTTAAATATGTTTCATTATAAGTATGTGTTTTACTTGTATAAGTGTGTGCAAACTAGTATCTAATTTCTATTTTTATATAATGTGCTTACATGTTTTATATGTGTTATATATGTGCTTTTATATGTGTTTTACAAGTGTTTTGTATGTATCTTTATATGTGCAATTGTATGTACTTGTATGTGTATGTATATGCTGTAATTAGTGTCTAACAGTGTCTAAAAACCAAGATGTAACAAATCATCCGCCTATCGATCAAAACTAATGTATTCCTAAGACGCCTTCTGTATGGCCATGTACAATTACGTAAAATTCTTCAATAAACTCCCAAGGTGGCCTCATGAGGCTCCTGGGAGTTGCTGCCACTAGATAGGGGAGGGCGCGGGACATATGCCTGTTTACCTCTGTTAAACATCAGGCGTCCCCGTCCTCCGTCACCTGTCACCTTATTTTAATATAATTCCGATACAACAGGTTTTTCCTTCGCCGCTATAATTTCTGTGTTTTTATTTTTAAATAATCGTAACCTATTAAAATTCTTCTTGAAAAATATCCTCATAAATTACCTTCTGCCCTGTATCGATGAGGGCTTCTACTGGTACATCGCCAACCAGACTTGTATAATTGGTAACTGTGAGTTCTTTACGATGACCGTATTTAAGTATCTTTTTGAGGGTTTTTTCAAAACTTCCGGGGTCTGGACCCTCGCTTTCACAGGGCCCCTCTACGTTCGTTTAAAGCTTTCCTTTCAATTCTCACTTCTGCCTTCTGAGTACGCGGACGGTTTGTTTTCAAATTTCCTTTTTGGGCCTTGACCTTCGAGCTTCGATGAGTTAGCTTGATAGCTCTTTCCCCCATAAGAGCGGTTTGCATTTCTGGTCTGCTCATTTGAAGATTGCCTTCGGATACATTGAGAATACGATGCCCCTCTAGCTTTTCCGCTATTCTGCGATTTTGAAACTTGACCGCCAATTCGAAGAGCTCCTGCAATGTGCTTGGGTTTCTAATTTCAAAGTAATCTTGAACAACAGGGAGTAATCTTGGTAAGATTATTTCAATAATCTCCGCGTCGGGTTTCTTCCCATACAGCATATCCGTCAGTTTAATTTTTCGCAAAATAAAGTCCGTCAACTCTTCTATATTCCGTTGATAAAAACTATACAGTTCGGCTTCTAGCCTTGCTCGATCTTTCACTATGGGGAAGGCCTTTAATAACGATTTTTTGAAATTTTCAAATGTATATGTCTGGTCTCCGAATTCCCCTAATAAAAATTTGCCTATATTCTTCCACCATAGCGCGCGGCCCTGTCCTCTTAGTGGCAGATGTGGCGATGGCAACTTTTTGTCTTTCAGGCACAGGGTAGAGCTGGAAAGTGATTGTCGAGGCCTTCTAAGAAATATTCGCCACCGAATTTTTTCCGTCGAAATTGACGTTTGGCTTAATTGACGCTCTCATCGTCTGGACCAGGTATCCAAATCCTTCCAATTGGCTTGCCATTTCTTTGTTGTCCAGAAAGCTTCCATCCAATTTTCGGCCATTTCAGTTCGACAAGTGTGTTCGGGCGCCAATGTAATGTTGCGCGCTTCCAACCTGCACGCAACAATAGTGGTGACTGCGAGAACTGGAAAGTAGACAGAGTCTTGAGAAGGGTTTAAATCCCTTTTTATTTTTCAACTTTAGAAATTACAAATGCGTGCTCTTGACGCTCACAAACTACGCCGACCCGGCGGTAAAATAAAAATAAGAAACTAAAGAAAAGAATAACAAGTGACTAACTACGAGGCTCTCTAAACGTAACTAACCTAACCGCTTTCTAAGATACCGCTGATAATTCAGCAAACTTCTGAATATTACGTTGAAAGATTAACAATCTGCCGAGGCAAGTACTCAGGCCGAAACGCGTGGTTCTTCAATTTCTAACTAGCCACCTCCACGCTCGTGAAGCAAGAAAGCACACTTTGGAACTCGTTTCCCTTCTATTTAACTCAGATTACTTCCGCTGACAATTTGAATCCTTGCGCGTTCTACTAAAATTTACATACTCTGGCATTGGCAATTCCAGGGGAAAGTAAGGCTTGACAGGAAAGATAGTTTAAACTTAAAATAAATGTTAGTTTAAAATAAATATAAACCCTACAAACTGTAAACTTGCCATTATGCATTATTGTTGCCTTTTTATTTAGGAAGAGAATATTTAGTAAAACATACATTCTTCAAAAAACAAACCAGCAACAGACTGATCTTGAAAATATATTTTATTACCACCATCTGAAGTCTGTTAAATCAATTTCTTTATTATTAAGTGTAAAATTATTTAAGAAAAGTTAAGATACGCATTTGAAATTAGGAAATGTAGTCGATGAAGGGCAAATCGGATATATATCTTTACATATTATTTATTTACAACTAAAAGATATAAGCCTTCTGCAAGGGGGGCTACGTTTCTTTCTCTCGTATTAAGGGAATAACAGCGATAAGTGGTTTCATGTGGCAACCATGCTGTCTGTAGATAAGGACGACTTTAGTGAGGGAGTGACAGCCGTGCCGTGGCTTTGTATGTAGGAGGTACTGACTTCGTATAAGGAAGTAAAAATGCGTCTAATTGTTTAGTCTAACTCCTGCTATAAATTTATGCGGAAACTCTTCATTGTTCATTTTTTTATTTGTTTAGTCTTTTCAATTTGTTATATACCTTGTGAAAATATTGCTTTAAACTTGTTTCTTGATTTTTTGATAAAGATTCGCCGAGCTTCGTTGCGTAAGTAGAACGAAAAAAAAGAAATTTTACTGCAGAAATAATATATATCATGATTGCTACAGAACGACCATTGTTTTCCTTGTCATCTTATTCATCAATAATGCATACGCAAAATAAATCAAATAATTGATATTTGAGCTATCTACCAGTACTGCCAATATATTCTTAAAAATGCAATAGCATAATTAAGATAAATAACGTTGAGAAGATTTAAAGGAGAGAAATGAGATGATTAATATTTCACGTGTCCAAGTGTTAAACGATAGGATCTTTTTTTTTTTCAGTGAAAAATAAAATGCTTTGAAACATTTTCCTTTGTTTCAGTTCTTTTGGGAGCAGAAGTCAAAGTAGTTATCATACTAAAGAAATTATACAAGGAAATTAAGGCTAGCAGGACACTATATAGCACTTACAGCATCTAGTCTAGAATTTTTATATTGGAACCATTGGTTAAATTAGTATAATCAAAACGAATACTTTTGATTTGTTATAAATATCCTTAAATATATTTATGCAATTATATTAGTTGGATCGAATGAAATTGCACTGATTGGATTTAATAAAGTCCTTTGTGATGTATGGGTGACGCCAAACAACAAGATGTATAGAGGGCGCTAACTCTCAGTCTGGAGAGGCGCCAAAAGTTTAGTTTCCAAGAGGGAGACCGACAAAGAGGTCATATGGAAGGCTCGTGGGAGCCATTAATGAAACCGAAATTCCTTTTTATTACTTTATATATTTCAGTTATTAGTAGTGTAGTTTAGTATTAGTTTGTGTTTGTAAAATAAATGTTTAAAAATACAAGAAGGTGGAGTTATTTCTCTATGAGGCGGTATCACATCCTTACATACCTTTTCTTTTTTTATCGTAACTATTTTACGTGGCTAATCATCTAAATGATCAGTTACTGTAAGTGGCTAATCATCTAAATTATCAGCTAATTGAATTGGCTCAAATTTTTAGGAACATATCGTCTACAATTCCAGATAAAAGATAAAGGAGGAAGTTTACCGATGATCATAGGTGTACAAATTAATATTTGCATATTTTCTTAATCTTATCTTTTAAAATTAAACTTAAAACATTTATATTGTGCGAGAACCAACTTTTATTTAATTGATTAATGCTTGCTCTAATGACGCCAGTTCTTCCTTAGAGCGGCAGATGCAAGGTCTGCTTGATAAAAACTGATTATCATATCCGAAGGCCAAACGTATACTCGTACCTCCCAGCTAAATATCTGCAGTCGCTGGTCACCGATGTTCTTTACAGTATACCACAACCTTCTGTGATCCAATAATGGACATAGCCATAAGTCGTCTTGTTCGGGGTTATTTTTTTATCTTAAATTTATACTTATTGGCTTAGTTGCTAATGCTTAACAGCATATTTCATTAAATATACTTCATTGTCTGGATAGTGTAGAGCCATTAGGATTTTTTGAAAGCAGAAGATTTGAAAAATGAGCAATGCGATCGCCGGGAATCGAACCACGGACCTCTCGAATATCGAGCGTGCAGACCATTACACTATGAAGGCACGCTAAGAAGGCGGGAGAAATACCTTATAATAATATTATTTATTTGATATGAAAAGCTTTCACATAGTGCAAGACTGCTGCTTGTTTTTGATATAATGTTCTAGTTTATTTCTACTCTTAAATTAGATTTTAAGCACATCCTTGCTGATAAATTCTTCCTTATCTACTTTTTTTTTTTTTTTTTTTTTTTAGTTCTTGAGAAGTGCATCTATCAGTGGCCTAATTTTAAGTAGGTTGCCTTGACTATGTTAAGCATGGGATATATTTTTGTTATTGCCATCGATATGAAGATATTGTTTCAACGTTTGAAAGTGATTCCAATACATATTATTTTCAATCTTGTTGAAATCCCTCCAGTAACAGCTGTATGCAGGCATAAACACAAGATCAATCACGAAATTAATTCATGAGAATATCTCCATTCCGACTTTTTTATGTGTTTATTGAATTTTCCGTTTTTCCACATGAATATATTTTTATTCATTAAATTATCAATTATATTTCCATCACAAAAAAGTTTAAAGTATTCATATGTGTAAATAATTTAAGCGATACCACTAAAAATTATCTTTAAAATGTAGAATCAAAGTTCTCATGAACTTTTCGTAATCCAAGGAACAGCGTCGATCAGTTTTGTTTTTTGAATTACTCATTTTCTTTCTTTCCCCCCCCCTTTAGCTTGTGTCTCACTAACACATTCATGATTTTTACCCATTTTCTAGTTCATCACCTTGATGATCTAGTTCATCAGCATGATTGTTATCTTCGTCTATCATTCTCACTGTTCCTCTTCTACTTCGATTTCAATTAACTAATTCCTAACAGATATGCATAGAGCTGCATCAGGGGACTGATTATTAACTCTGTTTTGGATTTCATCATTCTTATATGAATTACCTGAAACATTTTAACTAATTCTCTTATCGGAATGAACCAATTCAACATCTTAAAAATCTTTATTCATCCATATATAAACTGCCTCATCATTTGATAACATTTCTAGTTTAGGCTTTAACATTTGAACAAAATAGCACACAAGATCATAAGTTTTATATTTCATCATAGATGTATCTCAAAAATAACAAAATACTGTGAGAAAATAATAGTAATCAAAAGTAAAGCTCTAGAAACAAAAATTCCAAAATTATGAAACATGTTTGTTAAATATGTTTACAATACTATTTATAAATAATTAGTAAGAAATAAAAAAAAAATGTATTTTGCTACCGTTATTTCATTTCTTTTTTCTGAAAAATGGCAGTGTTTTTGGCTTATTTATCAGAAAAAAATAATAAAATTTAAACAAACATAAATTCAGCAATCAGAGGAATAGTTAGTATAACCATTTACTGGTAGAAACAGAAAATATATGTCGTTAAGGAAATACATGTAGATTACAACAGTGTTCATTTGGAATCGGTGGGAATTTCACAGATCCAAAATTGAAAAACTTTGCTGACGGACTTTGGAGGAGATGAAACGAAAGAATTAATTTTCATGTTCGCCATTCACTGTCAAAATGGAAAGGTTTCAGTCTCCTCTAGACGAATTATAAAAACCTTTTTATTCAAACCTAACGAAACACATTGAGAAAAAAATTAAATAAAAGTTATAATTATTGTTGTTTCTAAGTTTTCTAAGTTGGTTCTAATTATTGTTGTTTGAGACAATATTGAGAAGGATAAATTCAAAACTATACAAAATCCTAGTATAAATTTAAAGGTCTGTGTAAGTTTGTTGCAAAGTTCATCGCAATACGAACAGACTTGAGTAGTAAATATAGAAAATTATAAATGAAGCATTAGCAATATCCGAAATTAAAGTTTTACGCTAATACCTAGAAAGAGTGAGTGAGTGCACCGCTATGATAGCTTCCGACCACGGACATGAACCAAACGGAATTATATACCATCACGGCGGGGAAGACTCCAAAGTAACAAGGTTGAATATTACATACTAATAACAGTTTTTACATACCTAGACTAGATGAAGATATTAATTTAAATGATTAAGCAGAATTTAAAATAAATACTTTCAAATTATTTTTAACAAAATTCGTAGCGGAACTGAAAGGAAATGCAAAAAATGTCAATAAATAAAATATTTCAAATATTCCTGAAGCTTCTTAAGAATTATGTGTCGGTTCATACAAGTTAACCAAAAACATCTACCTCAGTAACACTGATGCTGGAAAACTAAACGATGAAGTAATTTTTATATTTTTAAAGATAAGATTATTTTAAAGCCGCGAACGGGAAATTTATAAACCCCTAAGACTATATACTATTACGAATTTGTACACAGGTGCATTTGTACACAGGTTATTTAAGTGCAATTATGTTTGATATTGTTGTGTTTTTCTATGTAATATAACGGGGGAAAAAATTAAAGAGACTTCATATGCGGAAAAGTAACAAACACAGGAAAGGGAAGGGAAAGTCCATTTAACATTGAGTAAATGGGTATCTCGGTAATTTGGCAAGATATCGCCAAGATGACAAAGGTTTTATTTTGTCACCAAATTTGGCGAGAAATCACCAAAAGCAGCCAAACTTAGCCACCATTTGACGACATTTTGGTTCGATCCCTGTATAATAATCCCTGTAATAGATATTGTAATTGAATAAATGTAATTGATTACTGCGACCGTAATTAAACCTTCTTATTTTTTTCCAGTAATTTCGAGAATCAGAAAGTACTAGAAATATCTCAACGGCCGGCTCAAAACTACATAAGGCCGGACAAAACATCTGCTCTTAGTCAGTTGTTAATAGTTTGTTGTTGCGAGTTGTTAGTTCAGCGTGAAATATATCCGGATTTGGTTTTCTCTTTAGGTGCGAATTACATTGTGTTTAACGTTCTTAGTAGTCTGAAGTGTTATTTCCAGAACTTTGAAGTGTTTCTTTTCATAAAATAAATTTTATTAATCAATTATCTGACCTGTGCGCGTTCAATCTATTACGAATCCGCACGCACGCAGCGATATGGTTAATTAGAAACTATATATATTTCCAAATAGATACCTGTATTTCTTTTCTACCTAAAATTTGAAAAATTATGCTTTTATGAAAGGTAGAAAAGACTATTTTATCGTATTAAGTATGAAAACTCTCTCACATTTTTTTTAAAGTCCTCCCACCCCCCGTGCTGGTGAAGTAGAAAGTGAAAAATAATGAATTTTAGAATGATTTCTTGAAGGCCATTTCATGTGAGCCTTTGAATTCCTAGATTCGCGTGCGCACCTTCCCTGAATTCGACACGGAAATTTTCTAAAATTTATTATATAAATACTTACGTAATATTGATAATAACATAGACATGAGATATGTTAATGATGATAAGAGTAAAAGTTTGAGTGTTTTAAACTAAACTTTCAAAGTTTACTGAAAGTTCAGATAGGCAGTGTTCAAGGCCGTACATAAACTTGAAAGGAATGGAATATAAGCCAGAAATTTATTCAAATTATCTTGTTTACAGGGAATATTTGATGCAAGATGGATTTCCTGCCATATTTCATTTCAACATCTGACACAAGAGATGGAAGAAAAGACCTATATGGAACTTGGAGAGACACCTCAAATCAAGGAGAAAGCTTTAGAAGAGCTGAAAAGACTGATTAGACGTAAGTTGAAACTTTCAAAATTATATATCAAGAAAAAATATACGGAGGAAGGGGGAACTGAAAATATAACACATATGTTTCTTTTAATCTTAGCTTGAATTTGATCAGTTTTTAGTGCATAATTTGCGATGGAAAATACTGTTCATGTTTATATTCATTCAACTTATAAATAAAATTTTAGTCAAGATTAATTCAATTTTATTTTTTCTTTAAGCAATTTAAATGTATAAATAGTTCTGGTGTTTTAAATTCAGTAAAATATTTTTAATTTCTAAGCATTGCTTTTGCCTCTAGCTGTTACATTCTTATACTAAAATGAAAAGTTAGGTAAGCAAGAGGAAATTTCCTTTTCCTTCTAATAATATACACTAACTGAAATTATTTAGAATTAAATAAACATCATGAATTAAACTTTCAGAATGGCGACAGGACAGGAAAAAGACCAAATAAGCAACTACACCGTCATGAAAACTTATCAGCTTAGTTGCTTATTACGTGGGGCCATCCACTATCTGCTCTTTAATATAAATTGTTAAAATTAACAAAATAAATTATATAATAGGACAATGTTGTAAAATTTAGTTACATAATAATATCAGTAACATAACAATAGTATCAGTTATAAATCAATCACAGAGCAATTGCATATAAGTAACATAATAGTTGTTTTGGTAACATTTTGGTAATAAAACTATTAATTCTTATTAAGTATATACATAATAATATTGTATTACATAATTATATGACAAAGTTATAGTATTTATGTTACCTTCAAATTGTCGCAGCTAGTTTATTAGATTAAATAGTTTATTAGATTTTGGAGCTTTCGTCTAAAGATGTTACTTTTTAGTAGTTGTTTGAACCCTAGTTTGGCATTTTCTGACGTATATGGTCGAAAATGTAAATCTTTGGTTATATCACATTCAAACATATAATGATCGAGAGTTCCTGTAGTTCCACATATACATTTATCTGTGTGATGTAAATTAAAACGATGTAGATATGAGGCAAAAGAACCATGTTAAAAAGAATGTTATGGCGCGGCTAGTTGAGATAAGGTGTCTTGATGGAGTAGATATGAATTTGAAGGTTTCTTCTACCCGTTTTAGGATTAGGGGCTTCACAGCTAATGATTACGTCGGCTACTTTATATATTTTACTAAGACGCATTGAATTCTATTAAAGTGCTTCATTTTATGTAATTTATTTCATAAAATACAGCTTATTAAATAATTCATATATACCATATTTCTCCGCGGGCTTTTCCTTCCCTTTTTTATTAATTTTATCTTCCAAAAATCGGAAGAGAAAAATTATGTGAAAAACTTAATTTCTCAAGAACACGGCTGCAGTAAGATTATAACAAATAAACAGCAGTGATATATAAACCTAAATATCGTTGCTTTAAAAAAAAACCTACATTCCAAATAAGAATGCATAAGTAATAATAACATTCAATATCTAATAATATATCTTCATTTTTTCTTCTTGTACCTTGAAAACGCCCATCCTTATTATTGTATCTGCTATTCCTTAGGCCTCAAAGTCATCCATCAATAATTAGAGAAGGTGAACTAGCAGCTGATTAGGCGACAATGTCAGTTCACGTTTTCTGCACTGTGATGAGTCGATTCTAATCTGACATAAAGCTCAACTTTTAGAAGGAAAAGGTTTTGCATAACAGTCTATGTAATTTGCAAGAGTTTATCTTTGCTAGAAGATGAAAACAATCACTTCGTGGACGAAACCAATTTAAAATTTATAGGAGCTTGTTTTCAAAACGCATTGAAGAAGGGGAAAATTGTAACAATACTTTTAAAATTTTCAGAACTTGATGCTAAATAGCTAGGGAGAAAGGTGCGCGACGAAAAAAATATCTCGCGCAGTTTAGCAAAGGTGTCTGACGCGATATTAGAATCTTTAATTGGCTACGTTCCCTTCCATGAACAGCTTGCCATCTGAAATATAACCCGCATTATATTATTTTATCCTCTTGCATTGCAGATAGCTCTGATCCAGTTGCAGAGCTCAAAAATTAAACAAAGAAATCAAAACATTAAATGCCACTGTTACTGTTGCGCAGTGCCCTTTTTCCTGCTTCGCCTTGCTTCTTGCCGACATGCATCTTTTGCTTCTTCATTTTACGCCTTTGACTGAAAAGATGTAAGCTGCGAAACTGTGGGCCACAAAGAGCACCCATAATGATGATGTGAAATAAAATTGTGTATGAATCAACGCCACCTCTGCTAAAGATATTCTTCTCCATTATTATGTTACCTTATGGATCTAGGGTATCTTCTAACACTCAAGTCATCTGCAAAATTATCAATATATATATATATTATATATATTATAAGATATATAATAGTGTGTGTGTTTATATCCAATAGAACTAGACATATCTATATATAACACAAAATTGAGACCTTATAGAGTTAGCTACAGGCCCAAAAAGAGCATTTAACCCTTATGGCCAACCTCAACAAACAAAAGCAAAGAAGAAGATTCTATTTACGGGAGATTTATAGTTTAGTACTAAAACCTCCAGAGGAAAAAGAGGAGGAAATACTGGCAATAAAATTTTTTTTCCACCCAAGATTTGGACTACGTAATTAAAATGTTTAGCACCTTCTTTCAAAAGAAGTCCTTCACAAAAAATTCAAACTACATTCTTTCAAAAACATAACATTATGGAAGATTCTCAACATAATTAAAAGGCAATTTAAAGGATGCCAAATTATTAAAAATTTAATTATAGAGCTCTGTAATTATAAACTGGAAAAGTGCCCACCAGCGTCCGAGCGGTAAAGTCGCTGAACACTGGTAGTTCGGTCCGAGGTTCGAATCCCGCGAACGGGCATGGCTGCATGGGTGTTTCGTGGTTTTCCCCATGTGTAACGTGTATACGAGCCAGTTTCCCTTAGAAAGTCCTCCACGAAGGCAACCCTCCCCTTAGGCGAGATAGCCCTCGAGGCTTCGATGGGATTAAATAACTTAATCTAACCTATAAATTGAAAAAATGTAGCTATTTCCATAAAAATTTTATTTGTAGTGTACGATTCAAACACCCTTTCAATGATCAAATCCAAATTAATCATATTTTTAAAAAGCATCAATATCTTCTGCCTAGTCAACAACAGCAATTCAGTAATGATCTCAATACCTTTATTGTATTAGCTAGCTTTCGAGCTAACTTGCCTACTACTACCTTTCTGGAATAAAAAGCAGCATTATTTAAAGTCTTTGAGCAAAAGATCCGCCGCTTACCCAGCTTTCAACAGATTCACGATAAGAAAACTCTGGAAATTCAAATCAAGCAACTACAAACACGTTTCATCATTACTTAAGATCGACAAAGCGAGCAATAATTTCAGTATAATTTGTAAAAAATTCTACTATGACTTAATTCATCAGGAATTACTTAGCACCAGCACTTATCAGCCAATTAAAACCACCGCTAAGATACTTCTAAAAAAATTCAAGGCATTACATAAAAGGCTCAAAATTCGTCCCAACAATTATTTTAATAAATTTGCAAATCTCTATGCACTTCCTAAATTTCACAAAACTCCTATCAAATTTAGATACATCATAAATGGTACCAAGAATATTTTAAACTAAATCGACTATCTTTTTGCCAAGAAACTTAAACTAGTGCTAGAAATAATTATTCTAGGACTAGCAAACTAGGAAACAAATTATTCAAACTCGGCAAACAAATTATTAAACTAGGAAACACGATAGCCTACTTACTCTCCCTGAGAATTTTCCACAAATCCTTACAATAGTCATTTGAGAAGAATGGAAACTTTTCCTCAACAGTGTACTATTTAACAATTATCTACAATTTGAGTACAAAATATTTAAGCCAGTCCAAGGAACACCTATGGGTGCCAATAGTTCTACCGCAATCTGTAGATTATTCCTATTCACACAAGCATTTAAATTTACGCAATCACTGAATGTGGATAATCAAAACCATTTCCAGCACGTATACAGTAAACTCTCGCTACAACGATACCAACAAACAATAACTCCCTCTACTACAAAAGGTTTTGTGGCCCGGATTTTGCATCTAGCTATGCTAATCGCCCCTCAATATGCTAGATTCTCTGAACAATAAACCTCTGAAAACGATTTTTCAATAAAATTCAGTATATTTTCTCCCCTTAAAAAATATTTTGATTTTCAAAGCTTTTTTTTTTTTTTTTAATTTTTATTTTTCCGTCTATTAAGACTCATTGTGGAATTCAACTATCCTGAATAAATAGCTATTGTTCAGATTTCAAAAACAGATGAAGACCACCCTTTTGGGAATTGGAGTGGGTGAGGGGTGAGTGAAGTAATGTTGCCTAGTCTCGTTTCCAGTAAGCTTTGGAATTCTGATAAGGTTTAAGGGACATCTAGACCTTCTGGTCACCTTGTCACAGAACAAGTGCCCTTTGTAAAGGAACAGGGGGAGGATGGAGGCGGGGTGTTGTTAAGTGACGTACTGAAAATGAAAAATGAGTTCAAAGGTTGTTTATAGTCTTTAACGATTTTGAGTTCTACGCAAAACATTTGGCTTAAACTTTTCTTTCTTTCACGCGATATTGTTCCCTAAGATGGCAGGGCGAAAGCAACTATCTTTTCGAGATAAACTGAACGTTATCAATGATATGATGAGGATGAATGAAGCAGATTGATACGGCTAAGAAACAGGGATTATCGCAATCTACAGATGCAACGTTCCTAAGAAGAAGAAAAAGCAAAATCGAAAAATGCTGTAACTTCAAATGAAATTAACCCAGAGCGAAAACGACTGAAAGTTGCGACAAATGAAAACATTGATGCTGCTGTTTTAAATGGGTTTCAGAGATGAGAGCAACAAATGTCCCAATAAATGGACCCTTATTATGTGCAAAAGTACGGAAATTTGCAGCAATGCTAGGGAACGAAACTTCAAAGCTAGCAATGGTTGGTTAAGCGTTTTCGAGATCGTCATGGATAACTTTCCAAGA